TTTATGCCCAAGCCCCCCTCTTCCTTCGGCTTGCACACGTCCGTCCAGGCGACTAAATGAAGTTTTTTCCTATCCTCGGATCCCCCCCAGATGAAAGTCCGGCATCTTCTCATAAGCCCATCAATGGTGGCACACGGTAGCATGGCCGACTGCATGGAATAATAGGGCAACGAGGCGAGGGCTGACTGGGTTAGGGTCACCCGTCCCGCCATCGATAAAGATTTCATGCGCCACCCGGTCAGTCGCGACTTCGCCTTCTCGAGACTGTGTGAGTAAGTATTCCTTGTCACTCGACTATGAAGCATGGGCATACCAAGGTATTTCCCCAGATTGTCCGTCCATTTAAAGTTAAGCTTGGTGGCCAGGCGATATTGTTCATCGATCTCAACATTGCTGGAAAAGAGGACAAGCATTTTTTCCGAGCTAACTTTAAGTCCTGAAGCGGCGGTGAAGTGATCAAGGACTTGTTTCAGCATTGCAATTTGCTCATCTGAAGCCTCCAAGAAAAGAAGTAAATCATCCGCGAACATTAAAAAAGAAACCGTCACAGCTCCTCTCCCAACCGACAGAGGTTTCCATACTCGCCGCTCAACCGCCTGACATATCAATTGCGCCAGTCGCTCCATACACAACACAAAAAGGTAAGGGGAGATGGGGTCACCCTGTCGAACTCCTCGAGTAGGGTAAAATTCCTCACCGATCGTTCCATTCCACATAAGGCGCATGGAGGCTGACCGGATACTAGCCATGATTGCCTTAGTTAATTTAGTCGGGTAACCGGCCTGCTGTAGAGTCTCTTCAATGAAATCCCACCGAATATAGTCATAGGCCTTTTCGAGGTCAACTTTTACTACCATAAATCCCTTTGCGCGCCGCTTACAGTGCATGGAGTGGATCATCTCTTGTGCCACCACAATGTTGTCGACAATTTGTCGGCCCGGGACGAAGCTGGCTTGGGCTGGATGGATCAGAAATGACAAGGAGTCTTTCATTCGGTTCACCAAGATTTTGGTAAAAAGTTTGTACACGACATTAAGCAGACTGATGGGTCTGAATTGCCTAATTGTGGTGACATTCGCCAATTTAGGAATTAAAACCAACAGCGTCTGATTAACTTCACTGGGCACCACGCCTGCGCTCCACATTTCGCAAATAAGATCCCGGACCGCCGGCCCAACAATCTCCCAGTTTCGTTTGAAGAACAGAGCATTTAGGCCATCTATCTTCGTGGCCTTTAAGGATCCCATTTGAAGCAACGCAGATAGGATTTCCTCGTCTGACAAGTCCGCATCCATCGACTGCATCACCACCGCATCACGGACAGGAAAAAGATTAGGGACAACCCCCGGCCTCGGTGGAGGTGGCTCAGCCGTATAGATACGTTGGAAGAATGTAGTCGCTAAATTCCAAAGAGCCTGTGGATCCGTCACTAGATTGCCCTTGTCATCTACCAACTCAACTACGCGGCCACGACGTCGGCGGTGCTTGACCTGACTGTGAAAATAGGCCGTGTTCCTATCTCCCAAATGGAGCCAATCCCTCGTAGATTTCTGGAGGAGTAATAATTCTTCTTGCAACAGAACGTCATCCAACTCCTCTCGCAACTGCTTTTCGAGAGTCACCAAGCTTTCTTTGAAATAGAATTGCCTACTACGTTGTATACCACCAATTCGAGCCAGTAACCGTTTTCTTCGTTGAAAAATATTCTCGAACACTGTGAAATTTCACTCATTTTGTTGCCACTGTGAACTTCACCACCGCCTCAGCAAAGTGAGACGACGGTTGCCACGCGGTTTTGAGCATATCAGCAAACTCTGGATGTAGAAGCCAGGCGACGAGGAATCGAAAAGGTTTAGTGCCTAGCGGCTGAAAGTGTTGTCTACCAAAGCCCAACAAGAGTGGTGAGTGGTCCGAGTGTATTCGTGGAAAGAGATGAACTCGCCCATTTTTGAATGCCTCCACCAATTCTGTGTTCGCCACAAAACGGTCCAAACGCTCCGACCCCCGACCAATCGGGCCCTCCCTTACCCACGTGAAGAGGTGGCCATCCGTTGTCACCTCATGCATGCCGTGCCAGAAAAGCCAATCCACGAATTCCTGGCTGATATTACAAAAACTTGAGGATCCCCCCAATTTCTCCGACCGGTTTAGGAGGAAATTAAAATCGCCCCCGACTAGCCACGGCTCCGAAATACCAGACGCTAGTGACGCCAAATCCACCCACAGCCGCCGGCGCAAAGTAGCTTGTGGACTGGCATAAATAAACGAGATTAAGCTGTCAACGCCGTTCTTAGTTGCCCGGACATGGATAAGTTGCTTAGTATAGTGTAGCACATCAATATGCAAATCTTCATTCCAAAGAAGCCAAATGCCTCCCGAGAATCCCCGAGCTTCAACACGAAAAGAATTTTTGAATTTACTGAACCTGACAAATTTGTCCGCTTTCTCCCCGCTTATGCGTGGCTCAAACAAAGCTACAATATCTGGTTTGTACTGATTAACTAAAGTTAAGAAGGCTCCCCGAAACCCCGGTGAACCTGCCCCTTGAACATACCATGTTACGATATTCATGGGAAACAAACGTAAAGAAAGAAGCAAATCCGCTAGAACTCAAGAGACTGGGCGGTCGACTCCGAGACCTCCTCAATACCCATTGGATGGAAATTATCTTCTGAAGGAGCCACTAAAAGCCCGCTGAAATTGGGATCCTCGGGCCAGGGCTCTTGAAGTCGAACCCCACGGTCTCCTTCGATCATTAAAGCGTCCCCAACTGCGTCTACCGCTTCTATATGTAGGGTCGGGCGTGTAATCGGGATATCCTCTACAATTATGGCACGATGTTTGGTCGGGTCCAGTCCAGCACCTACGAAAATTGAGCCAGGTTGATGCGCGGGTTGAGCGGGGGCCGATAACTTGTCACTGGGAACAGTCCCCTTGGCCTTCTCCGATACATTGTGCTTTCTAGGGGTCGCTTCCATGGTCTCACCTATTTTATCACTGGGGCCCGTCGTCGTCCCGTAGCCCTGAGTAGTTGCACCAGATTTAGCTTTGCCCTTCTTCTTATTCGCTACCGCTTGCCATTCACGATCCTCCCGAGTGCCGGCGCGCCTAGTGTGTAATGTGGTATCGTTTAGAAGCTTATCCGTTGATGTAGCCCCAAACTCGAATAGTCGGTGTGTATCCTGGGGTTCTTCCGTATCGAGAACATCGAATCGAGAGCCTTGCTTCGAAGTGGAGGCCAGGGGTCTGTCGTTCTGTGCCTTAGACATTCCCGAATCCCGCCGTGTATACGGTAGTCGTGCATGTTGTTGGGCCTGAATCCACGAGCCATACACCGACTCGCCATTGCTGTCCGGTGAAACCGCCGCGGGACCGGGGCCTCTATTCCCCCCAGTAGCCTGCCCTTTCTTCCCTACGGGCACATGTTCAGTTTGGTTTACCGGCCCTGGTACATGGACATGATGAGGACAAACACTACCGGAATGTCCCACTCGTCCGCACGAGAAACAGATGACGGGCAAATTCTCATAAACTACTCGTTGTTGGCGTCCATTGATGGCAAAGTTCACTACCAGCGGCTTTGTGAGGTCCACCAAAACCGCAAGACGTGCATACTTTCCCCGCGTCCGGGCTGCAGTTTGTTGATCAATTTTCACCACTTTTCCCACAATTTGGCCCACTGTGCGAAAAATCTTCTTATGATATAGATGGGCCGGCATGCCAGACAAATGAATCCATGCAACCGTGGTTGTGACCTCTGCCTTCGTTGCGTCGAACTCAAGGGTCCAAGGTTGGACATGCAAGTAGCTTCCTCCAATCACATACGGCCCCCCAGTGACAACACTCACCGCGTCCTCCTGACTGCAAAAATAGATGAGATAATATCTGTTTTCAAGGTCCATCATAGTGCAGTTCGCCATAAATGGCTAGAGCTTTGTCAGTCGGTTATATAGAGACGCCATCGTCATCGAATCATCAAACGGTTTAAGCACCACTACGTGCTTCCAGTTGTTATTGATACGGTCAAAGAAACGTTGGCCAATCGTGATTTCTGGCACCGGGCGATCAAAAACGACGGAGACATCATCCTTCCCCTCTTCAGCCTCTTCGTCGTCTTTCACAGTCAAGTCTACATGGTGTCGGTGTTGGTTGACCATATCCCGGAAAGTCCAGCGCTGCGGGGGAGGATCCGAGACTGCAGGAGGGGCAATTGGGGATTTCGGAGGTATAGGGTTTTGGGGTTCCAACAATTCCTCAGTACGCTTACGGATTCTAGACCGTTTAGGGGCATGAAGTAGGTTCCGGTCGAGGGTGGGAAATTCCGTGTCCGTGTGAGAGAGCGGCGGATCGGCCCCAGGGTCGAGGTGTGCTGTGCCGGAAGTATTGCCGCTGAGCGATTTCTCGATGATAAGGGTTTTTCCGTTCATGGTTGCGCTACCCGATAGTTATTCAGTTGTACATTATGAGTTCCATCTATGATAATTCGATGTTTGAGTAAAAAAAAAATAAATAAATAAAAATACACAAACCACCTCTCCAATTTTTCTAATTTATTATCATTATTCCTCAAAGCCACCAACTCAAAAAAAGGGTCACCTTGAAAATATAAGCTACCCCACTCAAACTAATTTAATAAATCCATCTAAATTAACTAAAGATCAAAGTGATTAAAAAATGCCTCAAATAAACTAGCAATTACAATAATAATAAAATAAAATATTAAAATACACCACCCCCACCCCCACCCCCTCAAACTCTAAAATAATACAATCAAGACTTTGGCCTATGATTTGAAAATGGCCCCATTTTCTAGACTTAATTTAATCCCAACCCACCCATCACATGCATAACTCTATTTAATCCCCCTTTCTCCTCCTCATTTCTCAAACACATTCCAAAACACAACTGCAAAAACCACAAAAGAATCAAAATAACTTCCAACAAATTTTCATTCAAAAAAGAAAAAAATCACTCCCAAATCCCAAAAAACTCCAGCATAAATGTTTCGCTTCACCGACACCTCCGACCTCTCCCGCCGGTGCGTCTGGGTCAACGGCCCCGTCATCGTCGGCGCCGGTCCCTCCGGCCTGGCTGTTGCCGCCGGACTCTACCAGCAAGGCGTCCCCTACGTCGTCCTCGAACGTGCCGACTGCATCGCCTCCCTCTGGCAAAACCGCACCTACGACCGCCTCAAACTCCACCTCCCCAAGCAATTCTGCCAGCTCCCCGACTTCCCCTTCCCCGACCACTACCCGGAATACCCCTCTAAGCGACAATTCGTCGAATACCTCGAATCCTACGCAGCCACATTCAATATCCGTCCCCAATTCAACGAGTGTGTCCTCTCCGCCAGGTACGACCCGACCTGCCGCCTCTGGAGGGTCCAGACTCCGGCGGCCGAGTACCTCTGCCAGTGGCTAGTCGTCGCCACCGGCGAGAATGCCGAGCGCGTCGACCCGGAGATCGAGGGTTTGGGTGAATTTTCCGGCGAGGTCCTCCACGCGTGCGACTACAAATCCGGCGAGGGCTTCAGGGGGAAAAAAGTGCTTGTTGTCGGCTGCGGAAACTCCGGCATGGAGGTCTCCCTCGACCTCTGCAACCACAACGCCGAGCCATCCATGGTTGTTCGCAGCTCGGTGAGTATCAACTATGAACTAATACTCAATGTGTATTTTCAATTTTGTAGTTGTATTCGAAAATCTGAAGGTGTTTTTTTTTTTGTCAGGTCCATGTTTTGCCGAGGGAGATTTTCGGAAAATCGACTTTCGAGCTGGCCATGTTCATGTTGACGTGGCTGCCACTGTGGCTAGTGGACCGGGTCTTGCTGGTGCTGTCATGGATGATCCTCGGTAACACCGAGAAATACGGGCTCAAGAGGCCCAATGACGGCCCACTACAGCTCAAGAACACTCAGGGGAAGACCCCTGTTCTCGATATAGGTGCATTGGCGAAAATTCGATCGGGGCAAATCAATGTGGTCCCGGGAATTAAGAAGTTCACGGGCAGCTCGGTCGAACTCGAGAACGGTCAGAATCTTGAAATCGACTCGGTTATTCTTGCCACCGGTTACCGTAGCAATGTGCCATATTGGCTTCAGGTGAGAAATTTTGTTTATGTTGCTTTTTGTTAGTTTACTCTTAAAAAGGTTCGATCCACGTTTTTTCGCCCGAACTAATTGGTTTTTTGCTATTTATAGGAAACCGAGTTTTTCGCGAAGAATGGATTTCCGAAAACGCCCTTCCCAAACGGGTGGAAAGGAAATGGCGGACTGTACGCGGTCGGGTTCACGAGGAAAGGGCTATCGGGTGCTTCGGCTGATGCCGTGAAAATATCGAGAGACATTGCCAAAGCTTGGAAGGACGATGTGAAGCAGAAGAAGCAGAAAGTGCCGACTCATCGGAGGTGTATATCGACGTTTTGACACGCACCGATCGGGATTCCTTTCTATTTTTGGCAAAATATGACTATACAGTATAAAAAAAATTGAAAAATATACACATATGTAAAGAATATACAAATAGAGACCAGATAGCCCTCTCCAAAAGAGCCCAAAAAAAAAAAAGATAGAAAAAATGTTCAAGTTTTCAGGTAAAGTTTGGGGATTTTGTATAACTTAGGATGATGAGGCTTTTTTTTTTTTTTTTTTTTT